ACCGTCCCTGTATCCACGTCACAGGGTTGAATGCGGTCATTTAACAGGTCATCGTAGGGCCACGAGGGCTCAGGGCCGGGAAGAGAAAGCGTCAGTGTTTGCTGACAATGCTTAGGCTCACTTCCAGCGGCAGTGGCGGCGGGGGGGGGTGGCGGCCGCTCCCCCTGCCCGGATTCTCAGCCACTGTCTTTCCCTGCTCCTGGGAAGGGAAGCCCCTGGGTGTAGAGGCCTGGGCTCCTAGGAGGACCAGCAGGGAGGCGCTAAGCCCGTGCCTTTGACAATGATTCCCGTTTTGGGGAGATTCCAGTCCGCACTGGTCAGGAGCCCAGTCTGTGCCAGCTCGCTGCCTGCTGTGACCTCTTAGAACACTTCTCCTGTCTTGTGTCTCATGAGATCTCACAACACACCTTCACGGTTCGAGTTCTCCCTGTTTCACACCTGAGGAAGCTGAGGCTCAGGGAGGTGGAGGGGTTTTCCTGGGGTCAGAGGGCATGACTGTGGTGGTGCCCCCACTCCCCACCCCGGCAGGCCCCCAAGGCTGGGGCCCAGCACCAGGGGCCACCCCTCCCCGTATGTTGCAGAATGTGGGCTGTGACTTCGAGATTGACTCAGGTGCTGTCGAGGACCGCTGCGGCGTGTGTCACGGCAATGGCTCCACCTGTCACACCGTGAGCGGGACCTTCGAGGAGGCCGAGGGCCTGGGTATGGGGTGGGACTGCTAGTGGGGGGGCAGCATGCTCTTGACCTGTGGCCCTTCCTTGTCTCCCATGAGCCCCTGCCTGTGGCCCCCACGGTCCTCACCTAGGCTAGAAATGGGAAGCAGGGAAGCTGCCTTGCTTTGCCCCAGATCCTGGCAGGAGCCGGGGCACCCAGGCCCGGGTGCAGAGACCTGCCCTCACAGGGAGTCCTCCTGCCTCAGGGATCCCAGGCTGGGCTAAGGAGTGGCCGTATGAAGCTTCAGACACTCCCCTAGCCCCACTGTCTCACCTCAGGGCCTGTTTTGCACACATTGCTTAAGTGCTAACTGCGCTAGGTGAGGGAGATCTGGAGGTGAAGCACTCACAGTCTGATCTTTTTGCATAGCAGATGCAGTGGAGGGAGGCCCAGAGGGCTGTGAGAGCGCTGGGGAAGAGGTCCTGACCTGGAGCGGTCAGGGAAGACTTTCTGTAGGAGGTGGAAGTTGAGCTGAATCATAAAAGACTCAGGAGAGCCAGGGAGAGGCTTTACACTTGGAGGAAAGAGCTTGTGCCCAGCAAAGTCAGGAGGCAAGAAGGATCCTGCTCTGTCTAGGGACCTGTCTGTAAGGAAGGGGGCGCTGTCATGGGGCTTTGAAATCTAGGCCAGCAAGCTTAGATTTCATAATCCAGAGATGCACACAGTCCTGTGTGGTGGTTAAAGCTCTGATCTGAGAGCCTGGTTCACATCCCAGCAGAACCCTCACGAAAGTTACTTAACCTCTCTGCCTCAGTTTCCTCATCTGTAAAATGGGGCTAACTGTATTACCTATGTCACAGGGTCATTACATGTGTAAAGTCCTCAGGGTAATGCCACACACATGATGGGTGCCACTCAGTGAACAGAAACAGGCCGTGTAGGCATGAGGACGACAGGCCAGGGGAAAGGCCCCGTCAACTGGGTTTTTAGAAAGGTCGTGGTGGCCCAAGATAGGACATAGGCCCACCTTGTGCCAACACCAGCTAAGGTCTCCCAGAGAGGAGTGATGGGGCGTGGGTCACCCAGAGAGGAGTGACTGGGGCAGGATCTGAGGAGCCCTTCTGAGGCTTTGGTGACCTAGGACAGATCTAAGTGGGGAACTCAGAATCTTCTGTTAATGTGGGACCTTTGGCATCAGCAGGTGGGGGCAAGTGGAAAGAGAGGTGAGGACAGGGCACGGCTACCTCTTACCTCTGTTCCCAACCTTCCCACCACCCCTGGCCAATAGGTTACGTGGACGTGGGGCTGATCCCAGCCGGCGCTCGCGAGATCCGCATTGAGGAGGTGGCTGAGGCCGCCAACTTCCTGGCCCTGCGCAGCGAGGACCCGGATAAGTACTTCCTCAACGGTGGGTGGACCATCCAGTGGAACGGGGACTACCAGGTGGCAGGCACCACCTTCACATACGCACGCACAGGCAACTGGGAGAACCTCACGTCCCCTGGTCCCACCGACGAGCCTGTCTGGATCCAGGTGACTGCTTCCCAGGGCCCAGGTAGGGGAGGAGCAGAGGTGGAGTCCATGGGACCCTGCCCTATGGCAGGAGTGAGCCCCGCGGCAGTCACGGAGCCCGGCCCTACTGTTGGCATCTCTGCCTCTGTTTCCTCATCTCTAAAATGGCCCCATGGTCCAAGAGGTGGCTGGGGTCAGTCCTTTAGGGTGGTTACCCTGGGCAGCAGGTCCTAGGTGGAGGAAGAGGACACCTTGTGCTCACAGGGCCCTATCCACCTGCCCCAGCTCCTGTTCCAGGAGAGCAACCCTGGGGTGCGCTACGAGTACACCATCCACAGGGAGGCAGATGGCCACGGCCAGATCCAGCCGCCTGAGTTCTCCTGGCATTATGGGCCCTGGACCAAGTGCACAGTCACCTGTGGCACAGGTAAGGCGAGGGTTGGGCACAGTTGCTGCCCAGCAGGGCCTTTGTCTCTGGGCAGCAATGTGCGGCTTCAGCCTCTGGTTCATTGCTTATTTGCTGGGCCACTATGAGCTTGGAATGCTGCTTCCGGGCCTCAGTTTCCCCATCTATAAAATGGGGCCAGCAATAGCCCCACCTTGTATGTGGTGGTGGCGTGAGGCTGTGGTTGGGTTTGGCACTAGTTGCCAAATCGTGGCTGAGCCTGCACATCTGTGGCCGCGTGTTGTCCTCACACCCGGGCTTCATGACAGGTATTATTGTTACAGCCAATTACAGATGAAGACACTGAGGTTCAGAGAGGCCAAGGGAGCAGCCCAGTGCCTCCCGGCTAGGACCCTGTGGTCCTACTGAACCTCCACACTGGGCTGCCTCTCTCAGGCTGGGGTGATGGCTGGGAGGACAGTGAGGAGAGGGCAGTGGGGCCTGCCTTCATCCTGACAGGCAGTGAGGCCTGGTTCTGGAAGGGTTCTGAGCGGAGTGGGTCTTTGGGTGCAGGGAGGCTTGGGCAGGAGCACCCTGGGTGCCAGGCCTAGGCTAAACCCCTGTGGCCTCCCAGGCATGCAGAGACAAAGCGTGCACTGCACTGAACGGCAGGCGGGGCCTGTGGATGAGAGACACTGTGACCCCCTGGGCCGGCCGGATGACCGCCAGAGGAAGTGCAGCGAGGAGCCCTGCCCGGCCCGGTGAGCCCCGCCCCCCTGCCCCTACTGCTGCTCCCACCGGGTGCCTGATTCCTAGCTTTCCCTCATCTGGGGTCCCTGAGAGAAGCAGAAGGAGCTGGGCCCTTGGCCCCTCTTCCCAAGGCTGAAGCCCCAGCCCCTGGTTGCTGCCGACCTCAGCCTGGGCCTGGGACCCCCCTCGGCAGCCAGCACCAGCCAGGGGCATCCCTGTTCACTTGTGTTTGGGTCCCTGGATGTGGACACAGGCCTCAGGTCTTGCCCAAGTACCCCAGGGGTGAATGTGGCAGGAGCAAAGGGGGCTATGCCCTGTCACTGGGCTTTGGGGGCCGGAGATCATCCCCTGGGCTTAGACCTGACCCTGCCTGAACCGTGAGTGCCTGGGAGTCCCTCGGCCCCACGCTGATGCCACCCGCATGCTCCCCGCAGGTGGTGGGCAGGTGAGTGGCAGCCGTGCTCCAGCTCCTGTGGCCCTGGGGGACTCTCCCGCCGGGCTGTGCTCTGCATCCGCAGCGTGGGGCTGGACGAACAGAGCGCCCTGGAGCTGCCTGCCTGTGAGCACCTGCCCCGGCCCTCTGCTGAAACCCCTTGCAACCGTGATGTGCCCTGTCCAGCCACCTGGGCCGTGGGGAACTGGTCTCGGGTGAGCATCAGAATGGGAGGAGGCCTGTCCCTGGCTCTCCCATTGGTCTTGGGCTACAGGGAGGCAGACAGCCTTCAGGGAGCCCTTACTGCTGGGCACCATGGTGGGAGGGAGGCTGGGGCATTCTAAGTCCATCCCCGCCCCAAACCTCAAACCTTGGGCTAGGATGTTCTAGTGAGCCACAGCCACATGCCATGGTCTCTGGTCAGGGCCAGAGGGGGCTGGCCGAGGCCCCGCACGCTGACACTGAGCAGTGTGCAAGTTGCCTTGCTGGGGCCCAGCTTCTCCTGGCCTGAGTCCCTCACCCGGGCCTTCCCTTCAGTGCTCGGTGACGTGTGGGCCAGGCACTCAGCACCGAAGCATCCTCTGCACCAATGACACTGGTGTCCCCTGCGATGAAGCCCAGAGGCCAGCAAGCGAGGCCACCTGCCTTCTGCCCCCCTGCCCGTGGGCCCTGGACACGCTGGGCCCTGAAGGCTCAGGCAGCGGCTCCTCCAGCCACGAGCTCTTCAATGAGATCGACTTCATCCCCCGCCGCCTGGCCCCACGCCCTCCACCCGCCTCCTCACCCAAGCCGGCTGGCATGGGCAATGCCATTGGGGAGGAGGACCCCGAGCTGGGCCTGCCGGGGCCTGTGTTCGTTGATGACTTCTACTATGACTACAATTTCATTAACTTCCACGAGGACCTGTCCTATGGGCCCTTTGAGGAGCCCAACACAGACCTGGCAGGCACAGGGGGTTGGATGCCCCCACCTCCGAGCAGCCCTGCTGAGCCTTCCATGGGCATCCCCATGCCTACCACAGAGCCTCCTGGGACTAAGGAGGAGGGGGCGCTGGGAGATTGGTCCCCTGCCCCTCAGCCCACCCAGACTGGCCATTCCACACCCCCACCCTCGGAGCAGACCCCTGGGAACCCCTGGGCCAACTTCTTATCTGAGGAAGAGGCCCCCATTGGAACCCCAGACCTTGGGCTGCCCAGCTTGCCCTGGCCCCGACTTCAGTTGGCATGGAGACGCCTGCTGTCCCTGGGGACCAAAATAAGTTCCTGGGAGGGGAGGACAGCCAGAGCCAGCCACCCCCTCCCTGGTGGGAGAGGACCAATGAGGTTTCCGAGGACAACGAGGAAGCCTTAGGCCGCAGAGCGCCTCACCTCCCCCAAAGACCCAGCCCCACGTCGCCTGCTGGGTCCACCATCAGCACCACCCACCCCTCTCCTGGTCCTGACCCCATAGAGCTGTGGACAAGCAGGACTGTGGCCTGGGAACCAGCTCTGGAGGGCGGCCTGGTGCCTGTGGACGGTGAGCTGTGGCCCACAGTGGGGGGCGCTCCTCCCCCTCCTCCTCCCACATCCGCTCTGCCAGACACTCGGGGCATGGACAGCCCCCTGGAGCCGGGGACTCCCACCCTTTCAACCCCAGGACTGGCTCCTCAGGACCTGCAGACCCTGGCAGTGCCGGGAACTTTCCTTCTGAGGGCCCCAATCAACCTAGGGCACACGCCTTGGGTGACCGCCCTGAGCCCGGGCCCCTTGGGCCAGCCTGGGTCCCCGAGTCCTGAGGCACCCCCACGCCCTGTGTGGCTGTCCACACCAGCCCAGGACAATGCAGCCAACAGCAGCAGAGCCCCTGGGCCTCCGGACCCCAGATTGGCCGAGGAGGGGCCCCCCACAAACCTGCCGCCTGCCAGGAATGCCAGTTGGGAAGTGGGAAACTGGAGCAAGGCAAGTGGTGCAGGTGGGGGTGGTTGGGAGGGGGTCGGGCAGCTGGGGGTCCAGCAGGACCTCGCTGACTCAGACTCATCTCAAAATGAGCAGAGTGGGATAACAGGCCTTGTCTGTCCTGCCTCCCAGGGGGATGGGGATTCTGGGGTTTGGAAACTGACAGCCTGTGGTGGGTAGAGGCTCTGAGGTGGGAGGAGTGTGGCCCCGCTCAGTCATACTGTCCTCATGTGCTCCTCGGGCCAGGCTGCCCCATCGGGCCTCAGCCTCTCTTCTGAGCAATAGGGTAGAGCCAGGGGCCTGGGTCCCTGGAGTCCCCGAAGGCCATTCCTGAGTAGCACAGGGGGCCACCGGGGAGCCAGGGCAGGCGCAAATGAGGGGCAGCCAGGAGCAATGGCCCTTTCATTCTCTGGCTTGAGTGCTCCCAGGGACAGGGAGCTTACTCCAAAAAGCTGTGTCGGGGAAGGGCCGCCTCCATGCCCCCCAGGCCCGGCCCCGCCCAGCAAGGCCCACCAGGGTTGGCCAAGGCTCCAGCAGGTGCAGCTCAGTTCTTGCCACCTGGCTCTCCCCTCAGTGGCCCCACCTGCTTTGTCAGGGGCCTGTGAGGATCTGAACTGTGTGGAAAGACGCTGGCCTGTGCTCCCCATCCCCACCCCAGCATCTCCATGTTGTCTCTCTGGGGGAAGTGAACTGCTTCTGTTCAGATCCCTAGTTTTGGTGCGGGAGGGTCAGGCTGAGGCCCAGTGAGAAACCCTTCCCAAGTGATCCTGGGAAGCAGTAAGCCTTGTCAGGACAGCTGGGCCACCTCACCTGTGTCTCTTGTGAGTAGGGACAGCTGGTTGCTAGAGGAGTTGGCTTTTCATCCTCATGGTCCCCTTAGGAGGTGGGTAGAGGAGCCCATTTTGCAGATGAGGGAAATTGAGGCACTGACTCCACTGAGGTCCCACCCACCTTGATGAGCAGTCCTCTCACGGTGGGCCTGAAGGTGTAGGCATCTGCCCACCCTCATGGCCCGTGACCCCCTGCCCCCAGTGCTCCACCACCTGCGGCCTGGGTGCTGTCTGGAGCCCGTGCGCTGCAGCTCCGGCCGGGAGGAAGACTGCGCCCCCGCTGGCCGGCCCCAGCCCGCCCGCCGCTGCCACCTGCGGCCCTGTGCTGCCTGGCACACGGGTAACTGGAGTAAGGTGCGTGAGGACCGAGGAGGCAGGCAGCCCCGGGGCCCATGGCTGGTGTTTGGGGTCAGCCACAGCCACCGGTGGGGGTCAGGCCAGGCTCCGTGCTGCATATCTTTGTACTGTAATTTCTAGTCTCTTTCGAATCGTTTCACCTTTGTGTGGTTCAGCCTGCCCCAAGCCCCCTCTCCTGTTGGCTGTATCCTTTCCTCTGTTCTTTCCATTGCCCTCCGGCTTTCACCTTCTCCTTTGTTCTTCTTTCTCCATCTGTCCCATCCTGGGGCGGCCCCTGGCCATGCTGCCCGAGGCTCATCAGCCATGGCCTCTCCTGGGACTCTGAAGGACTGGCCCTGGGCGGGGGGTGGTCCAGTGCTTGCCCGGCCACACTCCTCACGGGTCCTGCATGGGCACGCGCGGGGGGCGCCGTGTCCACAAACACGACCCTCGGCTTCCAGTGCTCCCGCAGCTGTGGCGGCGGGTCCTCCGTGCGGGACGTGCAGTGTGTGGACACACGGGACCTCCGGCCCCTGCGGCCCTTCCACTGCCAGCCGGGGCCTCCCAAGCCGCCCGCCCGCCGGCCCTGCGGGGCCCAGCCCTGCCTCAGCTGGTACATCTCTTCCTGGAGGGAGGTGAGGCCTGGGGAACTGGGATGGGAGTGGGGTTGTCCTCAGACCCTAGCAGCGCCCAGACCCCTTTCCCTGCCCTCACAGTGCTCCGAGGCCTGCGGCGGGGGTGAGCAGCAGCGTCTGGTGACCTGTCCGGAGCCCGGCCTCTGCGAGGAGGCGCTGAGACCCAACAGCACGCGGCCCTGCAACACCCACCCCTGTACGCAATGGGTGGTGGGGCCCTGGGGCCAGGTGAGCAAGCAGGGGTTGGGGGGACCAGTGCCCAGTGGGCACCAATCAGTCCTTCGTTCACATTAAGGCGTTCACTGTGTCCCGTGCACCAGGATCTCTGCGGTCCTGCAGATACAGTGGTGGCCAGACGAGGTCCCCACCCTGCTGAAGCTTAGGCCTCCCAGGGAGACAGGCTGAAAAAAACAGACATGCGCTGTGATGTCAGGGAAGGCCTGAGGAGGGAGACCTCAGGGTCTTTAGAGTGAGACCCACAGGAGTCAGTGATGTGAAGGAGAGGCATACAGGGAACAGCAAGTGCAAAGTCCTGGGGCAGAAGTGACAGACTCGGGGTGTCCAGGGGACTAAGCAAATGCCAGACTGGCAGGAGGGGTATGGGAGTGGCCAGTGTGGCCTCGGGTGAGCAGGACACCTTCCTGCCAGGCCTGCTTGTCCCCCTGGCTGCTGAGGGACCCTGGGCAGGCTGCTACGGCTTGCTGGCCTCTGTCTTGTCTGTAAAATGAGGTTGTGGGGATTCAGTGAGGTCACAACGAGAATTTAGCCCAGGGCCTGGCACAAAGTTGGCACAGATTAAGTCTATTTTTAGAGCTTTATAAAAACACCAGACCCCACCTGATGAGAATAAAATCTGGCTCAGGACGATGGGCCCTGCTCGGGAAGCTCCCCCCCCCCTTCCGCTGCCCACAGGCTGCAGCAGGTCCTCCAGCCCCAGAGCCCCTGCCCAGGCCGCTCAGGCCCCCTTGGCCCCTCTGCTCCGCAGGCGCATCTCGCGCCAGTGAACACCTAGTGGCCTTGGGACCAACCTTCTGAGGAGGCATGAGGGGTGGGCCTGGGAGTGAGGAGCTCGGCTTCCTGGCCAAGACAGCGGCTGTCCCCATCCCCCAATGCCCCCTGCAGGGCTGGCTAAGGGGATGCTCACCCCTCCCCTGCTCCCCGCAGTGCTCAGCCCCCTGTGGTGGTGGTGTCCAGCGGCGCCTGGTCAAGTGCGTCAACACCCAGACTGGGCTGCCCGAGGAAGACAGCGACCAGTGCGACCACGAGGCCTGGCCTGAGAGCTCCCGGCCGTGCGGGGCCCAGGACTGTGAGCTCACCGAGCCGCCACGTGAGTGCCCCACCTGGCTCTCTGCTGGGGGTGGGGGGTGGTAGTGGGAGATGGAGAATCAGCAAACCACGGCCCCCACAGCACTGGCTGATGGACTGGGTGCCTCGCAAAAGCTGAGGCTGTGCTGGGGTCGTGGCCAAGGAGGGGTCCAGCCCTGCAGGCATCCTCAGGCAGCTGTCTCTATTCAAGGGAGGAGCGGGGGTAGCTGCCTTGGCCCCCAGGCTGCTGTGTGACCTTGGCCAAGCTCTTTTTCCCTCTGGGTCTCAGCTACTCCCTCCCCGACACCCTGAGTGAGGCCAGGTATGTCCCTGAGACAGACCTGGGTGAGCCCCCATCCCTGGCTCTCGCCTGTCCATTTCCTGGCCAGAGGAGGACTGCCCAGAGTGAGCAATGGAACTGCAGGAGGGGCCTCCCTCCTGGGGTCCTGCAGGCTCCTAGCTGCTGGACACACAAACACTTATACACACACACACACATACTCATTTCCTTCCTGCAGCCCAGCCACTCCCAGCAGTGCTGAGCACAGGAAACTACCGCCCTGGAGTCACACCTGGCTTCCCCTCTCCAGCTGGGTGGCCTTGGGCTCCATTTCCTTGTCTGGGCCTCCGCTCATGGATAAAAGGACAGACCACCTCCATCCTCACAAACGAGGTCTCAGGGTGAAGGGCGCAGGAGGTGCTCAGGGAAGCTGGGCTTCTTCCTCTCCCTCGTGACCACTGTCATGACCCTTGGTGAGGTCAAGAAGAGTGCCTAGAGCTGCCTTTCTGTGACAGTCGAGAGAACATAGCAGCTCCTCTGCCTATCAGCGGTCTGAGTCCTGCCTTTAGGACAGAGTCCCCTTAGCACAGAATCCTTGGCCTTCAACTGGCATTCAGGGCCTCCAGGGACCTGCCCCAATCTGCCTTCCATGCCAGCGGCTCGCTCCTTGGCAGCCCTTGGCCTGCCCCAGACCAGCCACTGCCCTACCTTGCTGCCCGTGCCATGGGCAAGGATGGTCTTCTTGCCCCAAACCCCATTACCTCGAGGCCCAACAGAAATGCCACCCACCCCGATGCCCTGCCCTTGGCATTCATCCAGCAAGCACCTCAGTACCTCCTGCAGGCCAGCCAAGGATGCTGAGACCCAGGAGTCCCCAGGATGTTTTGATGATCTGTGGGGTTATGTGGCAGGACGTTTGGAAAGCCTGGAAACTCCACGGTGTGTGGTCACCGCGGTGAGGCAGCTGACATAGCACAGCCACATCCGTTCGCCTGTGGAGGTGGGGGCTATTGGCAGAGGAGGGAACTGGGGCCCCCTGAGAGACCAGGAAACTTGCCTGAGGTCACACAGTGGGAACAGATGTGTAGGTCAGAGCTCTGCCCAGAGCGGGGGTGGAAGAGCCCGCCACCTGCCTCGTGCCCTCTGCCAGGCCCCAGGGGTGTCCCAGGGCCAGGACTGCCAGCTGCCTTCCAGCTTCTCCTCCCCTGGGATGTCTGCTGCAGTGAGCAAAGCTGGGCGGCAGCTGGGGGCTGTCGGAGGCAGCGGGAGCAAGGCCAGGAGGTTGGAAGCAAGCCGCTTCCCAAAATAGCTCCGATAAGCACAGGACAGGAGGGCCTGCCAAGCCTCAGCCCCGGACAAGCACAGCCTGCAGCGTCCCTGCGTCCCTCCTCGGGAGCCCTGGGTTCTGCCGCCAGGCTGTGTGGCTCCGGTCATACCTGCTCTCTCTGGGCTTCAGTACTTGGCCTGGCTGACAGGACTCTGTTCTGGCGTGTGACCTGGAAGCTGAAGCTGAGTACAGGTTCAGGGAGGCCTGGCAGGACAGGTGCATTTGATCAGAGGAGGTGGCAGGGCTGGACGGCGGAGGTAAGTGGCAGGAGGTACCTGGGACTAAAGCTGTATGCCAGGACCTGTTGGGTCACCCAGGGTCAGCAGGCATGGAGATGGGTGGCAGGCACCTTGGCTTCTCGTGAGCACGTGAGGTGGTCAGGGCTGGAGCGTCAGAGCCCTTCCTGAGGAAACCTGAGTCCAGCAGTGCCAAGTCTCCAGTTCTGGGGGTGAGGGCCTGGGCCAGGGGCAGGTGGGCCAGGACAACAGCTGGGGTTCTGTGACGGAGGCCCAGGGAACCTCCAGAAACAGGAGGCTGGTGCTCTGGGGGTGGCTCAGGTCTCCTTAAGGCTGCTGGGGGCAAAGAGATGGCGCAGGTGAAATCTCCGGGAAGCCCCTCCACCCTGGAAGAGGGGTTGGTTCCCCGTGTCCCCCGGGTCCTGACCCGCCCCCTCCACCTCCAGGCTGCGAGCGTGATCGCCTGTCCTTCGGTTTCTGCGAGACGCTGCGCC